GTACAAAAATATTAAGGACTAAATGTGTACAAAATGAAAAATATATTACCCTATCAAGTCATTTTTCCCCAGCTAACCTGGAGTGGAGTAACAGGTCATAAGGACTGAATGTGTACAGTTTAACAAGTTTAACGGGTAAATGTGGACGAAAAAAAAAACTCAGTGACCAAATGTGTACAAATCAAATAATATATTACCCTTTTAAGTTATTATCCATTTTCTTTATTTCTTTTAAATTGAGCCGTTTGTTTTTAGATTAGGATGAGTTTTGTTGTTTTTATTCTCATGTTATGATCTTTTTGTACTTTTGTAATATGGGTTTTGCTGAAATTGTGTTCTGCGACATATTACCTACTTTCTGTAACGTAGATCCCATTTGTGGTCGTGTGTGGATTTCTTTCAGTAAGCAATTTCAAAGGCCAAAAAGAAATAGCAAAACGCATGGTAATTACTCAAAAATATCACAAGAAACATATATCCGTGTCGCAATACATAATAAAATGTCTTGGAAAAACTACATAAAGTTATAGTAACAAATCTAGGATTCAAACTCTTGTATGTACAAACCCGAATGATATGGAAAAAACAAATGGGTCATAAAAACTTAGTTAATGGGTTATAATAATATCATCTAAAAAAAATATAATATTAACTTTTAATTATGTTTTTAGGATTTTTTTTACTCATTTTTAGTTTTTTCTTGCATGTTATTTTTTTGTTATAATTTACAAACCTAAAAGAATTACATATATAGATTGTGTACCTATGAAAAGGTTTTTTTAACCACCTCAGCCTCCTAATATACACTATATATTAACGTATAAACCTTTTTTTTTTTCAAAACAATCTCAAATCGTTTGTGTTTGCGTTGTGTACAGTGTCCACCAATACTTACAACCGGAATCCATCCAGATTTAATAATATATACTATGAAAAAATTTCCAAACTCAAGGGTGTTCATGGACACCCTTTAAATCAATGTAGCTTCATCCTCGACAAATTATACAAATGAGAACAAAACATTATTCCTAATATAGAGCAAGAGATACTATAGGTTTCTCAATGAAGTTATTGAATTGCGACAGATTATCCAGTAGAGAAAAGGAATAATCATCATTATTGTTGCTAACAGCAAGACGTATGGGTTGTACGTCATTGCTGCAGTAAAAAACACCAATACGACAGCCATTAGATTTCGTCTCATGATGGATGCGATCACTGAGCGTAATGAGAAGAAACCACGTTCAACATAGTTAGGCCACATGATAGACAAGGTACTGACGACTGATGTGAAAGTGAGTATGAAAGCCATCCCATGCAATAGCATAGCAAGCGCCGATAGCAGCCCGATGTCTCGGTGGTTTGGATATACTGTAGATGCAGCAATGACGACGAGCAAAGACATCACAGAAGCATATAAGACGTAAACTGTTTTTTTATCCGAATCAACCGCTTTAAGAAATAGCTCTTTATGATTTTTCGTGAACAATTCACGTGGTCTTAAACCATCTTTGTTCTTCTTTTCTCTAAGTGAGGGAGGGAGCATATCCGAAACCATCTATAAACACATAGATTAGATAGTTACCATCAAAGACCATATCAATCAATATAAATAAGAAAACATTTCCACACACATGCTAAATGCTAAATGAGGATGGTTCCACTGTAGTTTTTCCCTTCTCCTTTGTATTTATTTCAATTTTATTGCAGGTTTTATGAATATGCCTTGGTGCTCATGCTAAATGCAAGTTTTTACCTTTCACATGCATTTGACATATAAGCAACTGAAAGATGGTATACTGTACAAAAACTGAAGCGATAGCAGTGTGCAATATGGCTTTTTGGATGAAATGATTGAATGAGAAAGAACTATAGAGAAACATGTTACCTTGAACCATTTTTCTTTTTCTGCCATTTCTACATCTGGTTCTTGAAAGTCCTGGCATTGATTACTCATTGTGGCCTCCTCGAGGATTCCGACTAAATGGAGTAAATTGTTCCCATTTTCGTCTTCAGCAGTAATTATCGAGTCTTTGATTGAGCCTACGCCGCACAATAGGTTGAAGATTCCAGGACAACGACATAAGATGGCGACCTGAAATAAAGTCTTCTTTTTATCATTCAGATCTAGTACAAGCTTTGGATATTCACCAATTAGGACAGCTAGGAACGCAGTGTTGTCCTCTTCTGCAGCTACAAATAGTACCCTGGAGATATATGTTGGACATTGGCATGCTTCTTCCAGCATTTTATCTTCCATAATCTGGTCAACAGGACCTCTCCGCATGTCATCAGTTATAGTCTTGGGAATATTTGCCAAAATCATTCTAAGCAATTCCACTGCTTGATTTTCCTCATCACCATGACAGCCATTAGGCTTGCGTAAATATGTCAAAATGATTCTAAACAGCTGCACTGCTTGATTTCCCTCATCAACATGCCCGTGGTATGCATCGTATTGATAAACTAAGAAACCAAGTAAATGATAATAACTATTTCTGAACAGAAGCTATGAGTGAAGTTTGCTATTACTTGAAACATATTATGTCTTTACAAAATATATATATGTAAGTATAGCTGAGGGATCTATATTATAAGAAACAATTTATCTATTGAAAGATCGTGTTTCGTAATCAGTGATGGTTACAGTAACACAACAATAACAACCTCTAAAGCCAATAGACTAATTAGTGATACAATCTCAGCATAAGCTTCAATCTTTAGTCCATATATCAAGAATGGTCACGCGTAGTTTCTGTCAAAAATAATTTTCTTAAGGCACTATGAAAAGGTAATAGACAAATCAAAGAGTAGAGATTCTTACGGTGTTTTTTAATATTAAATGCATTACGTTGACGAGCAAGAATTCCGAGTATACCGTCTTCGTCTTCACTCTGAGCAAGTTTTGGAAAGTCCTTTACTATTTCTTGTGCAACCTCTACAAAGTATTTGACAATCAGTTAAGATGGGAGAATGATGACAAGTGGGTGGAAGAAAAGTGAATAAACAATTAAGTTTGGTGGTTTTGGGAATTCAAGAGAATGATAATCAATTAATCATATATCCTGAAGACAGGATCAAGATAATAAAGATAAAGAAATTTGGGCCTTGTGGAGTCCATCCTTCTGAGAAAAGTCTACAAGAGATAGTGCATGTATTCTATTCAACCTAGAATTCTATTTGATGGACCTTAAACACTATCTACCAAAATACTTACCAAATAGCTCAGCTTCAACACATGTCAATAGAACACCACATCGTCTCTCATCTGTCCAAGGACTGCATTTCATTCTTTTAGACATCCCATGAAGATACATGACCATATCATGGTTTCCGGATAAAGCTGCCATTTGGAGTGGCAACTTTCCATCATTACCTTCCATATCCAGCAATTCCGTGTTCTTGGTCGCCAGAACTTTAGCTATAACCACATTTTTGCCTTGAGCAACTATATGCAGCGCAGTGTTGGAACTGCTATTCTTAAGCTCTAAATCCGCATCTTTCATCAATCTCACCAGATTTTCAACAAACAAAGTATGTCCTGCATACGCTGCAACATGAAGTGCTGTTTCACCCCATACATTGATGCTAACCCTTACCAGCTCTTCATGTTTGTCTAAAATGGCCTTACCAGCTTTCCAATTACCTTCCTTTGATGCTTCTAAGAGTTCTGAAAGGATTCTCTTCCATTCAGGTGTTTCTCCTGTTTGATTCCAATATGAAAATATAAATATATTTATAGAAAAGCAAAAGTGAAGTATATGTAAAATAAAAAACAGAAAAAACATTTATTTAGACAATTAGTTATTTACACCACTTTACTTTATGTTGCTAAGTTACTCCTCATTTATATTATATCTCTGTTGTGGTTACATGTATATATCAATATTATTACTGCTTGACCACATGTTGCTAAGTTTTTATAGCCACACTCCATGTCTAAGCCATTACCACTACTGTCAAAACGAGTTTAAAGTTGTGGATGAGGAATGGGAAAGAAGATTCTATTCATGTAACAGAACAGACCCATCATCCATTCCGTTTCCTCCATTTCCACCACTTAACTTATCTTTCCCTTCCAATCGTTTTCTTCAAAACAAACTAAAGACTGAATTTATGACAAAGAGAGGGTTCTACTGAACGGGTGAGAAGAAGGAAACCCATGATCCATTTACAATCTTTTCAAAACTGAACCTACAGCACCTTTTTTTTTTTGTTTGCATATGAAAGGTTAAAATTGAATCCCACTTCATATTTTACAACCATATCTGAAAAAGGGACTGTGAGAGCTATCTACGAACCCTGTATCTAACAACTAAAATCAACTAAATTCACCTATATTGGTTTTTGTATATACATAAAACACTATATAATTGTAGTTGACTGTGATTTGAGTATTTGAGACTTACCTAACAAACAGGGTTCAAGTCCTAACTTTTGAAATTGCAACAAAATTGCCTAGCTTATTGATTAAAATAGTTTGGCATGTTAGTTTCAATTCTTGCCAATAGAACTTTCTGTAAAATTTATAATCAAGAGCTTACAACTGAGTAGATCTTACAATCTCAAGTTACCATGGAACCAGATCGTAGATATATAGCAAGTCAAGTTAAGTTTCATATGAATCTCAAAATCTCATTAGGATCAAAAGATCTTACCATTGGAGGTAAAGGGCATATCAACTAAATGTTGCTGGCTGATGAGAATCGGCCGAATTGAATCTACGCTTCCACTTAATGGGTTCATTTCTCCCGAAGCAAACTGCAATCCAAATTAAGTCGTAATGATTAAACCTGTTAAGATTAGTATAGAAATCTGATGTGCATAGAACCTTGCATACTATTTACCTATTTTCAAGTTTAGCATCTCGTTTAGACTACATACTGTACACAATAATCTTAAAGCCGGTATGTTCCAAAAAAGCAATCTATCGCCGGAAGCCTGGTCAGAACCCAACTATGCCGGCGGAGCCCTCGTCCGACCTTGTCGAATCTCGAATCCAGGCACCTTTACCTCCTCTGCTTGACTCTGCTACACAATCTCAACTACGCCTCTTGTTGCTCTATACTCTGCTTGATGTCTGGGATTTGGAGACGATCAGGTAAACGTTTGTTTCGAAGAGACGATGGTCTTTTTATTTAATAACAAAATTTACCCATACAATCAGCAAAGAGACGCATAAATTAGTAAATTAGTTATGATATGATAATGATAACTAATTTTAGCCCACATTTTTAATATATATTTGGATGAATTACTAATTTAACCAAATTCATTAATGATTTATCATTGTTTTAGTCAAAATTTAAGGCTTATTACAAAATAGTCATGGTTAAAATGGCCTACAATTTCGCTCATTTACCTACTGTTTTGATGTTAGTATATAAGGATTTTTTTTAAATTTTCATTACGAAGCCGTAAACGAAAAAATGGTCTATTGTTTCCTCTGAAAAGTCTACTGTTTCCCAAAAAATAGATTAAAAATGATCTACTGTTTCGTCTAAAAACCTACGGTTTTGGGTTTTTTTTTGGTATTTTGACTACTAATTCATGTATTTTGACTACTATATCGCACCTAGTATATATTAAAAGAAAAATCTCTTTTAGAGTACAAGTTAGTGTTTTTTTTTCATCTTAAAAAAAAAAAAAACATAGGTTTTGGACGAAATTGTAGACAATTTTTAGTCTATTCCTTGGGAAACAGTAGACTTCTCAGAGGAAACAATATACCATTTTTTCGTCTATGGTTTCGTAAGTAAAATGAAAAAAAAAATCCTTATATATTAAAATCAAAACAGTAGGTAAATGGGCGAAACAGTAAACCATTTTAATCATCTACGGCTTCGATGACTATTTTGTAATAAGTCCTAAATTTTGGCTAAAAAGTGATAAGTCATTAATGAATTTGGTTAAATTAGTAATTTCCTCTATATATTTTCGGGTCTTTTATGAATTTAAAGTCTTCCAATTTTATTTATAACTTTGTTTTTATATACATTTAAAAACTTGATTTTTTATTTATAGTGTTTCTATATACTCGTTTTTATCCGCATTATTTTATTTATTTATTTTTATAAATTAGATTTTTCTTGCAAATTTTTTTCTAACTTTTCTTTAAATATTTATTTCGTATGTTGCTTTTTAAAACATATAAAATTTTGTTTTTTTACGTATTCAATTTTACAAGCAACAAATAAATTTTTACTTATAATTAAATTATGTATTACCCATTGTAAATATATAAAACTTATGCATCCTCGTCCGAGTTGTGAACTTACAGATTCTTTTTCTAAAAAAATAATAAAGCTTCTTAGACTAGAGAGAATGGTAGCACCCCCAACACTTTGCCACGTAGGATATTTTATGTTTTTCTGAAGCCATATAAGCTTAGCGTGTATAACACATAAAAGGTAGGGATTGGTAGTGTCTCAATTTAATAGGTTTAATTAATTTTTTTAGAAGGGAATTAAAAAAAGAAAAAAAAAAGAATCAACCAATCACAACACAAGATTCTTTGTCTCTCTCCTCTCAGTGAGGCAGAGTTAGTGAGCCCAATAGCAAGCGCTAGGTGGCGGTGTTCCTTCTCCCTTAGCGAGTCTGGCTACCATGTTTAGCGAGGCTACTCCTCGCAGCCTTAGGATCATAAGAAATGGATAGAAACTACAAAAAGGTTAACCGGTGACAAGGATATGGGTGAGGTCAACTCCAAGAATGAGAAGTGTAATGAAAATTTTAAAATCTATTGTAGGTATCTTCAAAAAGATTGATTTGGTTAATGCATGAAATTTCCCTAGTATATGGTTGGTCACGACATGAGGGATGAAGCTTCACGGCGTGACACCGGGCTAAGTGTCCGTCTTTGTGGCTCATGATGTGACACATGTCACACCCCCAAACCAAGGATGGCGGAAACGTCCGGGGGTGGCGGACTTCATGTGTAATATCATAACAACGAGTATAATAGTGCTCAAAGTAAATACAACCATCATAAATATAATTGAAAAAGTTACAATGTAGCATGTGTTCACATATTTCAAAATCAATTACATTATGATGACAAAATGAAATGTTTGACGTCTGAGCGTCCCATCCTCAAAAGCTGCTGTTTATCTGATTCACTGAATTCCTGAGAATACAAGTAGTTTCGAAAAGGTGTCAACAATTAAGTTGGTGAGTTCATAAGCTTTTGAAGGTGATGCTAAAATTCTTTTCTTTGTAAAAGTGATGTTTGTTCAAGAAAAATCCAATATTTCCCTTATAAAATGCATTGTAGTCTTAAA